CTTTCCCCCCTCCAGCCCCTTCTTGCCCCCTTTCCAGCCCCTTCTTGCCCCCTTTCCAGCCCCTTCTTGCCCCCTTTTCAGCCCCTTCTTGCCTCCCTTCCAGCCCCTTCTTGCCTCCCTTCCAGCCCCTTCTTGCCCCCTCCAGCCCCTTCTCCTGGCTAGCAGCCCCTCTTGCCCCTGGAGATGCCCCCCTGAAGCTCCCCGTGCTGGTGGGAGCCGTGGGTCCCTGTCACAGGTGGGTTGCTGTGGGGCCATTTCCACGTGAGCTGTCCCTGCACAGTAGGTCCTAGTGATGCCCTGGTCTTTTGGGATGAGGTGGACCCTCTTTTTTCAGAGCCAGGTTTAGGAGGATGGGATGGAGGAGCGTGGAGACATGAGGGGTCTTCTGCAGGCTGGGGGGTACGGACGGAGCCTCTGTAGGAGCAGAGGGGCTGGGAGGAGAATGAACGACCCGGCTGTGAAAACTGGGAGAGGTGAGCTGGGCTCTGCAGCCTGGGCCCAGGAGGGCTGGGAAGGCTTCGAGGAGGGTTTAGGTCTGGGGTCCTGGGAGGTGGGGAGGCTGGAAGGGGGGATGAAGCTGTTGGGGTGAGGACACGTGCTCTTGCTCATAGGGAAGTGTATCTGGCTGCTGGAGCGTTTGGTGGGACCGACCCGGCTGTGAAAACTGGGAGAGGTGAGCTGGGCTCTGCAGCCTGGGCCCAGGAGGGCTGGGAAGGCTTCGAGGAGGGTTTAGGTCTGGGGTCCTGGGAGGTGGGGAGGCTGGAAGGGGGGATGAAGCTGTTGGGGTGAGGACACGTGCTCTTGCTCATAGGGAAGTGTATCTGGCTGCTGGAGCGTTTGGTGGGACTAGTTGAGGGAATCAGCTGCTGGAAAAGATGTGTGTTGGAAGCACTGAGCAAGGGACAGGAGTCTTGGTGTCTCCAAGGAGCAATGCCACTGAAATACTCAGCAGTGAGGAGCAGTGGGACTGCTCAGGGCTCTCACCATGTTGTTGTTGTTTCATTTTCTCGTTTGGTTCATTCTGACTATAATAGTTGTTGAGGGTAGGGACAGCACTGCAGCCTCACCCCCCTCGTGGGTCAGACAGATGTGGGTGGAGGGAGCACCAGAGGGAGAGGGGAATAAAGGAAGAAAGAGGGGGCAAAGGTTTGCTGCAAGACTTTTTTTTTTTTTCTCCTGAAGGGATGAATGAGATGGGAGTGGGAGGGCACAGACAGCAGAGGACAAGGCCCCTAGTGACCAGATTAGATGAAGCAGAGAGGAGGGATCTGTTGCTAGATTATTGATCAAAGCCTGTAAGGTCAGTGGGGAGTAAATCCATACTGAGTTTAGAAAACCAGGCAGGATGGTTTGAGCAGGATTGCTGTGAACAGGGAGCATGTGGTGGTGTTACTGGCAGGGGTGTGAGCAAGAAGGCAAGCAGCAGCAGCTGGGTTTGTGCTCTAAAGGGAGCATTCCTCTTCTGGGGAACTTTGCTGAGTTAGGACGTGGCAGGGAATTCTTCAGAGTCCAAAGCTAAGGGCTGGTGTTGCACTGGAAGGTAGTTCAGGTTCTGATTTGATGTGAAAAATGAACTGGCACCCCTTGGTCAGCTCACCATGGGCTCTGCCCCCTCCCTCTGTGCAACGAGGGAGGCAACTCAGTCATGCCTTGTTTAATTTGGAGTGAGGATGAGGTGGATTCTGGCCCAGCAGAGCGGGAGCTTTCCCATCTCCTCATTGTATTTACTGCCCTAGTGCCAGGCCCCTGGGTATCCATGTCTTTGTTCTCTTACACCTCAGATGGAGAGCTCGTTAGGAGTCCTTGCCAAATAAACCATGGCATCCTCAGGTGTTCCCTGCTGCTGAATCCTCTGCCCTGGAGTGGAGGTGAAGTCCTTCAAGTTTGCATCAAAGACAGCAGTGCTGCCAGCTCCTGCAGCCCTGCCTGCTTGGTGCCTCTGCTTGCTGCTGTTGTCAGCTAGCTCACGTTTTATGTTTTCTGGCATTTGTTACTTTTCAGAGTCCAAAGCAGAACAGTTATTGTGTTCACTTGCTTTAAAAGCTGCTGGTTCTCTCACTCCAAAAGACCTTCCATGGAGTGAAAGTATCTTCACATTCCTGAGGAGCAGAGACTTGTGATTCCTCAGATGTTCAGTGATACTCTTATTTGCACTACAGTAGCTCTGAGAAACCCCACTTTTCTGTAGGATCCCAAAGCCAAGAAGTAAAATACCTCTTATTTTTAGGTTGTTTTAGCTGTAGACTGGATATTTTTTCAGTAATTACAGGAGTGGCCTGTGCAGAATTAATTTCTATATTCATAATAAAGAAAAAATTGCACCTGCCCTGTTATTTGAAGGCAACTTCAGTTGCAACCTTCCCCCTCTGCTTTTTCATCTTCTTTGTTTTGCTTTTTTTTATGTTAATTTATTACTTGTGTTTTCCTTGTCAGGTGGAAAATGGGACCATTTCCATTGTGTTTTAGGTGACTCTTACCACCTGGTTACCATGAAGTCCCAAAGGAGATAGAGGGACAGCAGGGGGAATTCCTTCTCTCTCCTCAAAAAAAATCCAACAGTTGCCTAATGGTAAGAAAGTTGTTCCTCTGAATTAGCCACTTGTACAGTGTCCATTAACTGAGGAACACATTGAGGAGTTTGAGATCCAAACCTATTGGGCCACAAGCAGGGGGATTGAGGAAGATAAAGGCTGTAAATGCTGCATGTTTGGAGAGGGTGGGAGGAGTTGGTTCCAAGACATGAAACCCCACCTGAAGTAGTGTCCAATTCTAGAGACCCCTACATAAGAAGGACATGGAGCCACTGGGGAAAGTCCAGAGGAGGCCATGGAGATGATCCAAGGGCTGGAGCAGCTCTGCTCTGGAGACAGGCTGGGAGAGCTGGGGTGTTCAGCCTGGAGAAGAGAAGGCTCCAGGGAGACCTTAGAGCACCTTCCAGTGCCTGAAGGGGCTTCAGGAAAGCTGGGGAGGGACTTTGGACAAGGGCAGGGAGGGAGAGGACAAGGGGGGATGGATGAAAACTGGAGGAGGGGAGATGTAGGTTAGATATTGGGAAGAAATTCTTTCCTTTGAGGGTGGTGAGACCGTGGCCCAGGTTGCCCAGGGAAGCTGTGGCTGCCCCATCCCTGGCAGTGTTGAAGGGCAGGTTGGATGGGGCTTGGAGCAACCTGGGCTGGTGGGAGGTGTCCCTGCCCATGCAGGGGGTTGGGACTGGATGATCTTTAAGATCCTTCCAACTCAAACAGTTCTATGATTCTATAATTGTGCTGTGCTTTGTGTCCTCTGCCCAGGGATTACCTCTTTTGCTGAAGTCATGGGGAGCTGCTGCAGTTGTCTGTGCAGAGACAGCATCCCAGACAACCATCCCACCAAGTTTAAGGTCAGTATTGCACCTGCATCCCCACCAAAGGGTCTGTGGCAGCACCAGCTTCTAGCAAAGCCCAGCATGGGTTGGATTCCAGGCATGAGAGAAAACCTCTGCTCTTGCAGAGGTCTTTCACTCAGCAAGATTTGCAAATTTGTTACTATTTTGGTTTGTTGGGGTGTATTTTTAAGCAGTCTCTGCTGCAGAGACACTTGTTTTTGCAATAGAAATTGTCTCTGCACTGAGATTGAGCCAAGCAAGGAAATGGGGAACTGGAGGGGAAACCTTTTGCTGCTCGGGGCTGTGTTCCAGTGTCAGTGTTGAGGCAGAGCAGCTGAGCTGCCAAGCACACAGTCTCCAGGGCTGCCAGCTTCGTGCCTCCTGCCAGCCAGTTCATGGTCCCAGCTGAAAAAAGGGCCCTCAGTGCAGAGCAGGAGAACCCGTGGGAATTCCGCGCTCCTCACGGGTGGGTTCCCCCCGATGCTCTGAGTTCCCTGCTGTGAGCTCTGTGGCCTCTGCAGGTGACCAACGTGGATGATGAAGGGAACGAGCTGGGATCTGGGATCATGGAGCTGACCCAGATGGAGCTGATCCTGCACACGCACAAGCGAGATGCTGTCAGGTGGCCCTTCCTCTGCCTGCGCCGCTACGGATACGACTCCAACCTCTTCTCCTTCGAGAGCGGCCGGCGCTGCCAGACAGGGCAGGGTGAGTGTGGACATTCCTGGAGGAAGGAACATTGAGGTTGCTGTTCCCAGGCAGCCAGAGTGAGCTGATGCTTGTGTCTTCCCAAATTCCTGCATCTAATGAATCAACAGGTTCTTCTGCAACCTCTCTTCTCCCAAAATGCTGGAGTGTGCATGCACGTACGGGTAAGACTCCTGATTAAAACAGTAATGAGAACAACATCGTGGCTCAGGACCTGGGCATAAATCTAATGGTCTCATTTTGCTGGTGCATCCGTGCTGATGAGGTAATTGGGGAAGCAGGCTGGAGCACTGGATGGGGTGGATTTTGTGTCAGCCAGGATGTCAGTTACACTGTCAGCTCTGCCCTTTGGTACCAAACGAGGCACCGTGATGGCAGGAGGGGCTGCTGGACTTTGCTTCTTAGGAGCTGGAAAGTGCTTTTTGCAGACTGCAGCTTTGTTAAGCATCCTTTAACCCTGGGGATAAAGCAAAAGGGCATCAGGGCATCACCTACACCTTCCTGCAGGTTCCTCTTAGGCTTCACTTCTTCCACAGAGCTGCCACATACACGTCAGTAGCAACAGTTGTTTGAGCACATTTTGTTTTTCTCAGGGCATTCTGCCTGCCTTAGGTAGTGCTAACTCTCCTTCATGCTTTGCATTTTGTGTCTGGCAGCAGTTTGTAAGGTGGAGGGGAAGGAGTTTTATGTTTTACTGATTCAGTGCATGGAGGTGCCATGGTGGAGAAGGGAAGTGAGTCACCCAGGAGTATGTGCCAAATCATCAGCAGCCCTGGGAATAGACTCCAGTTTTACAATGGTGCCTGTTAGTTCCTTTACCAGACTGTCTCTCTTGCTTTTAAAGAGCTGAACATTTTCTTGGCATCTGCATCCCTGGGAAAAGGAAAAAAAAAAAAAAAGGAAAAAGTATATTTCTTCATTCTGTTTCTGTGTTTATAAACTCCTCCTTACCTAAAGGACTCCACATGACTGCTCAGAGCTCTGTGCAGATCTGTAGTGCTGGATGCTCCTTTTCAATATTTATGTGGGGTTTTCCTCTCCAGGAATCATGTGCTTATCAGTTGCCAGTGATGGGAATTGCTCATCTTCAGTTTCCCTTTTGCCTTTTGCAGGATGCAGATCAGGGATTAGAATTCTGCCATAGCTGTGTTTTGGGTGTTTTTACATGCAGGTAGTGGGGGTAAAGCAAAGCCATTTGCTCTTCATCTGTTAAAAAATATTCAGCAGACAGGTATTTACTCATCATTCTTAAACCAGACAGAAAAGGAGAGGGATGTTGTGTTTTGATGAGTTTTGTCCCTTCCTTGTAGGATTTTATCCTGCTGATTTAATTTTATTTGGAGCACTCCTTCCTGATGCTGCTCCTCCCCTTATCTGAGGCAGATACAGACATTTTTTTTTGGCCAGGGTTTTTAAATCCTTATTCTTTGGGGCAGCAGCTGTTGCCATGCTGCTCCTGTTGCCATGGCTTTGGTGTCTGTGGGTGTCAGCTTGGGATTGGTTGGTGCAGCACACACCAGCTTGGGGCTAGGGAGACACTGCTTAATTCTGCACATCTTTGAAGTATCTCCCTCCCTCACATGCACACTCCACAGGGCCCAGTTCAGCTACCACTGGGTAGACTTTCCCCTGGTAATGAGAGCTGGACTGGGTGCTGAGTGAGATAAAATAGAGATTAAACTAGTTTTCCTGTCCCTTTCACACCTCTGCTGGTGTGGGATTGATTGTCTTAAACTAACTGGGGTGCTGACTTGTTTTTCTTGGAATAAAGCAGGATTTGGGCAGATGGAAGCCAGGGCATTGTGTTTCTTTTGGTGCAATAATCCAAGTTGTTGGTTGCTTTCCTCTGGCTGTGGGCTGCAGGGGTGAAACAAGGCACAAGAAATCAGAATTGGCTGTTCATTTAGAGCTGGGAATAACATATACTCTTGTTAAAGCAGGATTTGACCTTCCTCTCTGTCACCATGCAGGGATCTTTGCCTTCAAGTGTTCCCGAGCAGAGGAGATCTTTAATCTGCTTCAGGACCTGATGCAGTGTAACAGCATCAATGTTGTGGAGGAGCCTGTTGTCATCACCAGGAACAGTCACCCCACGGAACGGGAGCTGTCCAGGAACCCCCAGGCATCCAACAGTAAGACTCCTTCAGCATCCAGGGAGGAGAGGAGGGGACACAGAGACATGGGTGACATCTGCAATTGCTGCTGTGCATTTGCCCTTTGCAGCCTGTGGATCTCCCATGCCTTGTTGCTCACCCCTATCTTGGTGTCCACGTGTGCCCCCCATGCGGAGTAGTTATTTTTAGGCCCCACTTCTCTGCAGTGTGTTTTGTTTCCAAGGAAACAGCAATAAAAAAAGCCCTTCAAATAGTCAACTGAGTGTCACCCTTCAGTTGGTTTTTGTCTGGACTGCTGCCACGTGGCCTCTTTTTAAGTAGCACCTACAAGCATTGGGTGGTTCCTAAAGGAAACCACATCTGGAAGAATTCAAGTTTGCTCAATTCCTGTCTTTGTTAGGAATGACTTAAATAGATTTAAACAAAATCTCTTTGTGTTTGTACTGGGCAGTTCATGGTAGGGATCATCCCCAGGCAGGCTGATTCTGCCCTGCAGGGTGCAGTTAAGAGACCAGCTTACTGGGAAAATGAAGTCAACCCTTTTTTGTACCAAAAAACAGTGCTCTAATATTTATTTGATTCTCTCCCAGGCCTGGGGTACACTGTCCCAGGATTTCCCAATGGATTTCCCAGCTTCCCTGGAGAAACCCTACCATACTCAGCAGCCCACCACCCCTCTGTGAGCAGCCTGAGACATTCCTCTGTGGGTGAAGACTCTACTCATGCCCTCATTGGCCCCGAGGAGCAGGTAAACCCAGATAGCCTAAACTCTGCTGTTTGCAAGCCATGAACAAGCAGCTTGTTTTGCTCACAGTCCTGTGCAATTCTGGATGCCTCCTACTCCAGCAAAACTCAGGGGATCCACATACCTTGTCAATCCTTTTTTCTTTTTTTCCTCTTTTACTTCATTTTGCTGTTGGAGACTTCTGCTCTCTGATGCTTCACTAGAACAGGTGCTCTGTCAAGGCTGACTGAGTTGGCTTCCTTGATCCACCAGTATTTGCATGGCAATTATTTAACAGCAGCACTTCACTTGTGAGCCCAAGCCATGTTGCCTTGTCCTGTCAGCTGCTGCTGCAGCCCCAGACAGATGTGCAGAAATGTACCCAAGTTCAGGCTTGTTTTAATTTTGATGTTCAGCTCTTTATTCTTGGTTTTAAAATATAAGATTTTCCCCTGCAAATCCAACTTGTCTCAACCATTATCAGAGTGGAAGTGAAAGCTGCTCAAGGCTGTGTTTTACGAGGGGCTTTACTTTCTGTTCTGTGCCAGATGCACCAACCATACAAAAGGTTGTGTGTCTTCTGCAGCTGGACTCCTTTTTGTCTCTCCTCAGCCCAGCACTCCAGAAATGGCTCTTGCCTTTTCCTTCCCAAAACCTTTTCAACTTCTGAAGTTCTTTCATCTCCTGCTTCATCAGCCAGCGCAGAATTTTCCATTCCTGTTGGAATCTCAGCTGCTGGCAGCTGCTTTCCCCTTGTCTCTTCTCTTCTCCTGTCACTGTCCCTCTGCTTCTCTCCTTGCAGTCCCACACCTACGTCAACACGGCCAATGGTGATCAGGAGCTGAGGGGCCAACATTGTATGCACTCCTTGCCTGAAGTCCACCCTCCTTTCCCCCATAGGAACCACAGCTGCTCCCTGGAAGACCGAAATCCCCAGGTCTTTCTGCAGCCAGGGGAGGTTAAGTTCATCTTAGGTCCCACCTCCAACTACAGACACATCTGTCGGCATCACCGGGAGCACACGACCTGCTTCTGCCCCCCCAACAACAACAACAACGAGTGTGAGGAGGACTGCCCTTCCCCCCAGTGTGTCTATGAGAATGTCAACGGCCTGCTGCCCCCCAGCACCTCCTCCTGCCACCGAGGTGGCTGCTTGAAAATCCCCCGGGAGGACTCAGGCTTCCCGGGCTGCCCCCAGCGCAGGGCGGCCTTGCTGCACTACGAGAACTTGCCATCGCTGCCCCCGCTGTGGGAGCTTCAGC